CCCATCTCGTCGAGCTCACAGGGCTTCCCCCTGGTGGCTTCAGTGTTCCTGGTGTCCTTACTGACTTGAAATTTTGTGACATATTTTCCTTTTATTTTTTGGTCCCAAGTTAATATTATTTGCAAATTTCTAGAACATGTACAAAATTGCAGCTGGCAATTGCACTGTGTTAATAGCAAAAACTATGTAATAATGGTATAAATGTAGCATGGACATAGCAAAAATTAGGGATACATTTGAGACATATCCAAGATCTTTTGCTCTACCAACATTTGGAAATGTCAAGGAAGAAATTAAGTGTAGAGTGTACAAATCATGTCCTCTAAGAATGTTTGTTTGTTTCAATTAAGTGTAATTTTCTTTGTTAATAACAAAAAATGGAACGGATAGTTCTACAAAAAGTTCATTTCATTGTCGAGCATTGTGGAGCTACTTATCTTGTGAGTTCTTACAATTGCGAGATATCCATGATCCATCCATTGCTAGGTGTTTAACCATATGGAAGCACAGGAACACAATCATCTTTGGTAACCAGATTAGAAACATGGTATGCCTCTTTGTTTTTAAGGAGCATTTCTCCATGATCATATGGATAATCCTAGTCTTAAGGAGGAGATGCAAATATCACTAGATCATTGGTAATTTCATCTCTCTTTTTTTGTAACTCCATGTGCACATTTTCATAGATAAAAGATAAAATGGCATAATAGGGGCATTGCCTATTTTTATGCTAGAAACAATAGAAACTTTCCAAGTATCTCTTGGTTTATAGGTCAACAAATCAAATTAAGGTAGTTGAAGTATCATTGAACTAATCTGTTCTTTAAAGTTAAGGGCACGTCGTGGGAGCTCGACTCCACCCCAGTTCCACTTCCCCTCTAAATTCGACTCCGCTTCCTAGCTCTAGAATGGAAAAAGATGTTTGGCTAACAAATTTGATGTAGATATAGATTAGGGAGAGGTTGTTGTGAAATATCTAAATTTCTCCTTTAAATGGTTCTATTTTCTTTAGTTGCTTTCCTATTGATCATATTTTATTCTTCTCCGCTTCACACACATTATGAGATGGAGTGTCTAACCTTCTCATGTATTTCATTTGTTGATCACCAGCAATTGATGAACGTACAAGAGTGCACCTAGTTGAGGAGTAAAGTGGCTCAGGTAGGATGATGGCTTGGGGTAGCTTAGTTATATTGGCGTGTAACTTCACATCAACTCCATTGTTGGTTGGGTGTTAGGGGTGTGCATGAGGTGATGTGGAGCTATCAGATGAAGTACCTTAGATTAGATTTGGTATCTCTGTGTTTTTGGAGTTTTAGGAGAATATCATGGTTTTGTAGAAACCACAGGTTTAAATAATTTTATGTGTTTGGCATGAATAAATACAACTATTGCATTATCCATAGCCTTCAATATTGAGGCTTTTTTGCGATATTTGAAAAGGAAGTCTCGCCCTATTTTTCTAAACTTGCAAGAAAAATCTTTTGTTTTGAGAAGCTGAAGTATTAATTGCCCATAAATTGGGATACTAAGGTTTTAGATTACTACAATTTTGTGAAAATTGTGTTGGTAAACTAGGCCTTACTCTCTACCAATTTTTTTTGAAATGTCGCTGAGGGGAGAGATGCTCCACCTGAATAAATATATTTCAAAAGGAAGTAGCCCTAAGATTTTTCATGGCAAAGGTGAAGAGAGGAACAAACGCAGAGCGAGGGTCTAGACTACTCACAAACAACGGGGGAGCTTAGTGTAGACCAACGGGGGCCATGGCCCCCTTGATTTTTTGCATCTATATAAGAACATGCTATATGTTAGGACTAGTTAATGTTTAAACTAGAGATTAGACCCCCTTCTCCATTAATTTGGTTCTATTTGAGTAATGGCCCCCTCTTGAATCATGCTCAAGCTCCGCCACTGCTCACAAAGGCTTTATCCTGCACTTCGTGGATAAAATCAGTAGCGAACCATTTAGCACGAGGGACGGGTAAAGCAATACTGAATAGTAAATTTTGATGGAGCACCAAGCTCTCTCAAAGTTTTCTTCACCTTTGGCAGCGGACTGACACCCTAGCGGATCGATTCTCCTCTTGATCTCTCCTCCTTTTGCTATGGTCAAGGATGTTGTGTATGTTGTTGCTATGTTCTCTCTCGCCAGTTATGAAAGTTGCTTCCGTAGATGAGAGGGAGGCGCCGCCTCCTGGTATGACCAATGGTAAAAGCGGGCGTGCTTGTACCACACGATGCATTATCTCCTGTTGATGCCGGATGCAACTCTTCCCACAGGGAATGTAGCCCAACTCCTCCTCAATCATCAAAATATGCTCCAAAACCTTCCAAAAGTGTTTTGTTTCTAAAAAGCAAGTCAGGAAACAAGGTTTCTCTATCTTTTGGTAAATAATGATTAGTTAAACGGCGAAAATCGTTGAAACATTGGGTTAGGCCAAACAACATACCCTCTAAAAAGCGTACATAAAATGGAGTCATCATGCCTAGATATTATCTACCTAGTAAAATGAACTAGAGTCTAATTTTTGCATTGCACTGAAAATATGAAGTTGAAGCGTTTGGGACAACTTGACCTACCCACCGCGACCCTGAAAACAAGGCACTAGACTTTTTCCCCCTTCTTTCCTTAAAAAACAAGGCGCTAGATGACTCGTTATGCCCATGGCGTAAAAACCAAATGTAGCCGAGAAGGGGGGGGGTCAAATTTTAAC